CTTATTTAAAATTAAAAAAATAATTACTTAAAATAATTTTTAAGTGAAAAAACAATAGTTTATTTTGAAACAAAGAGTTTCTTCGGAACCGTGTGTTACTAGTACACATTTATTTTGGGAATAAGGTTTTCAAGTATGAAATCTCTCGTCCCCTCAAGTGTTCAAATCGATGCTCGTTATCATTGGAGCACAACCTTGTCATTTGCTTCTCGAAGCCTTCGTTTGATATTGTAGTAAGCGTAGTGTTATGGTTGTATTCTCGTTCTGTTATCATAAAAAACTATGTCAACATTTTGTCGACGACTTAAATGGAACCTTTTTTTTTGTTCAACTTTAGTTTGTTTATTTTTTTTAATAAAATAAAAATATAAGAATTAATTAATAAATTTTATAAAATTATCTCTAATTAGTTATTGTAATTAAATATGCATTTTTACTGTAATATGTTCTCTTTGTTTAACTGTAGTAGGCCTCTGTTCAACCATAAAATTTTGTTTAATAAATATAACATCCTTTCATTTTTCTCTCCTTGCCCTTATACTCTTTTTTTTTTTTATTATTTAAACAAGTTTACAACTTTCAGGGTGAGGGATTTTGAACCTTAATCCTTGAGTTGTGGGGATGCATTTTATAAATCGATTTATAACCGTTGAGTCACGAGGCACGTGTGACTTTCCCTTTTTCTCTTTAACCTAAATACGAGGATAGTTTTTAATTTGAAGTATTTAAAATTTAATTATTCACTTTTCATTTTAAGATATTATTTAATATGTTTATTTTTATTTTATTTTTATTTTTAAAAAATAATTATAATATATATTAAAAATAAATTAAATAAGAAATCTTATTTAAGTGATAATTAATTAGGGATAAATATAAAATTTTATCAATAAATTATTACATCTCTATTTTATTTTTATTTGATAAAAAAACTAAATCTATTATAGTTGAATAAAAAGAGTATGTTGTAATTATCTTTTTTGAATAAAGGATTAAATAAAAATAAATACATAAAAATATCCTTTTTTTCTTACTTGCATTAATAATATTTTTTTTTCAAAAAATAAATAACTAATTTTAAATGTCTCAATAGATGAACTAAAATTGAACAAAATTTTTGAATGATAAAACAAGAAGTGAACAGAGTTGATAAGCTCAAACTTTTTAGAGAAAGTTGGATATCACATAATCGTAGCAATGGAACATTATGTGGTGTTCTGATTCCTTTTATGTATGTACCACATAACTTTATCTTTTTCCTTACTTTTGTCATTGTTTAGAAAACCCAAATAAATTTTCCATAAAAAAAAATGAAAACGCAAATAAATTGAATGAATGGAAAAACTTCGCTTCATATGTTCACAAACAATCAATCTTAATTTCTATCCAATAAAAATATCACTTGCAAGTTGCAAAATCAAGCAATCTTTGATTTTCAAGCAGTAAGTCATTTATGTTTATTTTTTTTTTTCTTGGGTTTGGATGATTTCACTCATATTAACTGTGCATCTCTCATGTTTACATGATATATTAAAATTTTTAAATATTAACTTTAAAACTTAAATTTTGATTTAATTTAAAAAATAATGTTTACTTATCAATAAATATAACCTTTTAGGATTATAAGTCAATTATGTTAATTAATGCATAGCTTATATATTTGGTAATCTTGCATTGAAAAAAGGCTTATATATTTGGTAATCAAACTTATTACAAATGGCTGCAGCGTGGACCGACCATTTTATTAGCTAGTCAGATTCTGAATTCTAAACCAGCTGGCCTTACTTTTCAACTTATTCTCCAAATGTGGTGGATATGTGCACATATGTTTCCTTCATGTTGTCATGTAAACAAGAATAAAAAAAGACAAAAAGATGTTGTCAGATTAACGATATATGCATTACCTGCATGCAAGAGGGTCTATATATAATTCCGTTATGCCATCACCATGCATTAAACTATAGCTTGATTTTATTCAAAAAAAAAAAAAAAAAGAAGTGGGAAACCTAGAAGAAAATCATGACTTTGATTGATGGAGGCAAAGAGGTAATTTCATTTTGCGTTCTTTTTCTTTTTTTAATTTTTATTTTTTGAATAGAGATAAGGAGTTTTATATCATGTAATTACTATTTGTTTGGTTTGAGAAAAAGAAGAAATTTTTATAACTAATTATATTATTTTGTTGGTTCTCCAACTAAACAAGCTATTAATGTCTTAGGAAGTGAATATCAAAGGCTGATAATTTGAAATGTTGCCATAACGTAAGAGTGCAAAATGAAAAATACACAAAATTTGCACAAAAATGGCTTCATTTCAAGCTTGTCTTTGTATAAAATTTCAGATTAAGTTGGACAATTTGATAAGGCAACTTTTGCATCCGCAGGTGGTGGAACAAATATGAGTTTCAACAAATTTGAATTTGGATGAAGAACTCATATTTGTCCCATCATCTGTGTATGCAGACTTTTCCTTCTCTAAAATTGTTGAGGTCAGAAACGATTAGGAATTAAGCATTTAGGGTGGCTATTTACCACAAGAACAATCTATTCTTGTTGTCATTGTTGAGGGAATTGAAATTAGTCCAAAACAAAAATTAGAATCCCACGTGTTTCCTTTCTTAAAACCAAACAGTGTATTTAAATTTGGACTCATAAATTCAAATACACTTTGTTCAAGCCCCAAACTTACCAACCCAAAATAGTCAAAGTTTAAATGTTAATATACTACACCAATTCAATTTTAGCTAGTTTATATGAAATCTCAAGCATTAATTTTATTGGTAAGTAGTATCATCTTATAGATCAAATTTAGAATTTAAGTATTGGGACCAGTATTCAAGGAAAATTAATTTCTTTGAATGCATTAAGTTGATGTGGAGGGTATGTTCTTAAAATTGTCTAAGGAGAGATTAGTCTTGAGATGCGAAAAAGTTGGTTTGAGGATACTTTAATCATAATTAACAAAAAACAAAGATAGTTTATATGAGTGCTAATCACTAACATTTGGCAATTATTCCAATTAGGTTACAAATCTTTGAGTAATAAGATTTTAGTGACCTAATTATTATACTTTCCAAATGTTAGAGGCTAAATTTTAATGTTTTAAAAGTCAAACGACCAAAGTTGTTATAAACGCAGAAGAAGCCAGTGAGCTCCGGGCCTCTGCTCCACTGATCTGATGCTTACCCACTAACCCAAAGAGACTTTCACTTTATCGGCCCGGGAAAAAGGTTTTACTTTCGGCCCACGTGCCCAGTTCCCAAAAAAATAAAAGCAAGTGCAGAATCGTCATTAAATAAAAATTTCAAGGGCATATAAGGAAACCCAACACGGTAAGCGCACCGCAACAAACCCTAATCTTCCTCCTCCCCCTTTAAAAGCCATAACCTCCTCTCCTCCCCCGCCGCATCGGTGCGCTGTTTCTTTGTTTTCACCAATTTCTTCTTCATCTTTTTTTGAAAAATGGTTTTCCGATGATGATGATGAATGTTTAATCCCAGCTCACTATGAGACCTTCTCTAAGGTCTGGGAAGAGATTCCATCCAACATTTGTCTGAGCCTCAATTCATTATCAGTTTTTTACTCGGTAATCACCTGTTTTCCTTTCCGATCTGTTAAAAATTTTCGATCTATGCTTTGTTGTTCCCTCTGATTTTCCTGATTTTATAATAGATGCAAGATAGAATCATAGATCTGATTTTCTCTCCATAATTTCTGATTTTAATTTCAAACGTTCCCGGTGATGCTTGAAATTTGGAACCATGCTAATACTGACAATTCAATGATTGAAATATAATCCTATTTTCTGAGGGAACAATTCTTCCAAAAGTTTTTAAAGAATAAATTAAATTTTTTTTTTAAAGATTTTATTTACAAATCCTTGATATGGAACAATCTTTTTCTAAAATTTATTTATTTTTTCAAAGTTTGAACTCAGTTACACAAAATCTCTAGATCAGGCTTTCTCGATCTCTAGATGTCAGTAAAATCTTGCATTTCATACGTTCTACAGAGATGTATAGAGCGCGAGATTTGCTGACATTTAGAGATGGATAGGCATGAGATCTGTATCGGATAGTGATGGTGACAAGGGTTTTCGTAGAGGATTTGAGAATTGTGCTGGATTGCCCTCTGCCATGTGAACAATCCTTCGAAGATTGAGAAAACTATGTGGTGAATCTTTGTAATTTGATTTCATGGCTAGGGGCAATCCAGCACATGTCTCAACAATCTCTTATCTCACAGTTGAGCTTCTCAATATGCTGGTCTCATCTCACGGTTGAGCTTCTCAGTATGCTGGATCTTATATGGTCTTTTATTTATTTGTAATAAGTGATTTGTTTTGGTTGTTTTATTATATGATTGTTAGAATATTTTTTGTATTATTATTTTTTTAAAATTGTAATGTGTTACTACTAATTTAGTATTTTTTGTAACTTTCTTCTGCATAATTTTCTTGAACGAGGACCCAGAAACAAAGCTGTTATTAATGTGGGCTGGTCCTGGAAGGTTTTTTCAGACGTGATACTGATGGTTCAGTGCAGGGAAATCCTGGGATTGTTGGAGCGGGAGGACTAATTAGAGACCATTTTGGAAGATGTGTGATTGTTTAGTCTAGGAGAATAACTGGACTGCTAGCTTAGTAGCTGAACTATGGGCTATTAGAGATGGATGCATTACCAATTTAATTGTTGAAACTGACTCAACTGCGGCTAAAGTGCTTGTTGGGTCGGCTGATGCTTCTTTGTACCCACTGAGTGTTCTTAATGACAGCTCTGCTGTCTCATATATACATTGAAGTAAATAGAGTTGCTGATTATCTTGCTAAGCTTGGCTCTAATTTTCAATTCTGTTGTTGTGTATAAAGAGTGCCCAACTGAACTGTCTTCTATTTGGACTATGACTGTATGGGAACTGTAGTTCCTAAACTGTTGTAACCAGTTAGCCAGCTAATATTACTTGTTTACTTACCAGAAGAAAAATGGGAATCATATATGAAAACATATGGATGAGAGATTATAACTTCTAATTTCATGAGTTAGAAATGACGGGAATTAAAGGATTATGACTGTGCCATTGCTAGAACCTAAGGTTGATACCCAGTTCATGTGGAACGGTGTGAACAAACAACCTTAACCGTTTCAGAAGATGGCCCTTTTACTTAGAAGTTGCAATTTTTGGTTTAACGCCGAACTTTGACATTTAACCCATGGTAGAGAAACCAAAAACTCCAAAAGCTCAAGAGATCTAAGCGGCTGAGACCATTTATCATAATACTATAAGTGAAAACATTGTATTAGATTCCTTTTGGTTGCGTACTGGCAATTGTTTGCATAAAGTAACAACTGCTACACATTCTTCTTTCTAACAATTAGACTTTGGGCGCTCATTCTAACAATTAGACTTGAGGTGTGTTTCGGGTTGATTTGAAGTGTTGTGAGGATACCTTTGGGGATCGAAATATTTTTTATTATTTGATAATTATTTTGAAAAAAAAAATTAGTATATAAATATGATTCCTAATTAGATAAAATATCAATTAAAATTAATTAATTTATAATAAATTAATGCTTTTAATAAAGTGTCCTCAGCTCATACTTTACCTTTGGAGGTAGGGGAGGTTTCATAGAAATAAGGACACAACCTTTCAAAAATTTGCTATTAAGGATATCACCTTTTTTTTTTCCTTACTAATTAAGGTTATCACATTTCAAAAATTTTTAATCAATGATATGATTTATGTGATTTTACTTAAAATAATTAAATGGATGTGCATGGTCAAAAAATTGACTAAGTGGATTTGAACAGTTATATTTTTTATTAGAAAATTTTGAAAAGTATCTGTCTTTATTAATAAAATTCTAAAATTTATATTCTTGATTGAAAACTTTTGAAAGGTAATTGTTTTGATTAATAAAAATAAATATCATATTCTTAATTAAAAATTGTGTCCTTATTTAGAGTTCAGGAATATGAATCTACCATATATCCCATTAAACAAAGTAAGGGCATTGATAATCTTAAATTTGCTACTAGGGGCAATAATTCTCATTGTGCAGACTTGGCCTAGTTGCTAGAAACATGTGCATGGGCAAAAGGAAAGCTGGTTAATCCTCTAGTGTACAGACTTTAATGCTCAAGTTAACAATATTTTGGCGATGGTCATGAAAGGAGAAGGATGAGAGAAAATGGAGAGAAACTAGTGTAGAAAAGAGGGAAAGAATCACCTTTGGATTAGGAGAAGAAGACCCCTTTTTACAGTCCTTGGAGGTGTCTTTTCTAGTGGAAACCTATTAAACACATGTGTCTGACTGTCATATTTGTTAGAAACTTATAAGAGAAGTACAATCATAACTATGATAACCAATAAAGAGGTGTCACATGACTATGAGAACAAGGAATGTTCCTAATAGTTTTTGACATTACTAGGCATATTTGAACTTTGAAGTCCATACATAGGTCCCGTTACAGTTGGTCTTTTGTCTTGTCTTGTGGGTTAGAGGTGATTGGTTGAAGGCCTTAAATGTACCTAAGTTAGGCTAGCTATGTAATTTTTTAAGCAAGGTTTCTAGCCGCGCCTAAGTCAAGGTCATATAGTTCCATAAGTCATACAAAAACTTTTCCAACTAGGTCTTAAGAACTATAAAAGACTTAGTTTAATCATATTTCTTCAATAAAAGCTCCTTAGATTCGACCTGGAGTGCTCTTGAAAATGAAAAAGCTAATCCTAAGGCCATATGAACTAATATAAGAGCTTACCACGTGTAGGGAATACTTTACCTGATATCAAGCATCATCCCACTAAAATGACTTATCAAGGGTCCAGCCGTCCAGCACATCCTTTCGTTACCAATTTAATATCTAGGATGAAAGATTTCTTGAATTTGATATGTGAAATGTGGCAAATGGGTGTGCAGTACTGTCTCCATCCCATGGACCAAACCAACTACTCCAAGGGCATACATTTCGCGCACCAACCTTGAATGTTGATTCACTAACACAACATTCCATCGTAAATAAAAGAAGAATGAAAAGTTGAATACAAAAACAAAAAAGGCAGTCCATACCAATATTGTTTTCGGGATATCGCATGTAACTTGTCTGATTGATTGATTCTCTTCTCTTCTCTTGCTAAGCAAAGTTAATAATTAAATTAGAAGGCAGCTTCTTTTGGGAGTAGTATAAAATAACAAAAGTTTGATTAAGTTTATACATCTCCTCAATCAATCAGAATTTAGCCAAAATGATACTATCTGTCAATCATAAAATCCTGTTTTGAGTTGAAATTTAAGATTTTAAACTTTTAGCAAATATTGCAAACATCAAGTGTTATTAGGAACTGTGATTACTCATATTTCATATGCCAAATTGCCATAAAAACATTGTGAAAACAATCCTAAACGTAATTATAGGTAAACATTTAAATGCATGTATATCAATAACAAACTTAAAAAACAATCCCCATATGTCTTCCATTTGGCCATGCCAACCCACAATTTTGTTATTGTTGTTGTTCCGTTTTTTTAACAATGATGATAATTTTGCAAACACTTAAAAATTATTAATAGTTCTTTGATCCGATAAAAAATATGCACATTTAGAAATTCATAATAAATTAATTTTTTATTCAATTCTCAAA